TTTTAAGGAGTAACTATTATGGTAATGCACGCTTTGCATCCGGCCTTATATCTCGTCGGAGGGGGGATTCGAAATACCAAAGTTTCCTAAAATACCATCGAGCTACATAAAATACATTTATTTGCGTGCATGTTTGTTTAAAAAAAAAACCAGAAAAAGATAACAAATATGAAAAAGAGGAAAAGGAAAGAAGACAGAAGAATTTCTCTCTCACGCTAAGAGTTTGTAGAGAAAGGTAGGAAATAGCTAAAAAGGAAACGGATGTCTTTCAAAATGTTGCATTGCAACTTGATGTTATGTTGCATGATGTGCCCTCCCAACCTGGTTGCAACAACCTAATGTTCCTACAGAGATAAGTATGTACTGCGTTGCAACCCCTACATTGACAACAATGAACCTTGTCTAAATAAGAGAAATCAAACAGATGTTATTGATCTTCTATTCAATATACATGTTCTTAATTTTATTTAAATTAAATTCAAATATAAGAGAAATTTGGCTTGACATTCTCTATAAATTTACATAGCTTCTCTTCAATTTTTAAATTATTAATATTACTAAACATAAATTTAATCTTAAATCAATTAAAAGAAACAAATGAAAAAAAAATAAATAAACCCAAATTTAAAGTTTTTCAAATGATAGCATGATAGCATGATCAATTTGCAATACAGAAAAAAATAATAAATAAATAAAATTAAATCAAATAATGAAAAAAAAAATCATCTTAAAACATCTCTGTAATGTTCATCACATCACTCACTGTTTCAACAACAACAATAAAATAAAATATTTGTACCAAAAAAAAATCAATTTATGCATATTACAACACATTAATAACAAAACGAATAATAGTGGTGACCATATTCAAAAATAAATAAATACAATAATATTAGTTGAACAAAATTAAATTATTTCAATTAAAATTTAATTTTGTGTATAATTTATTCAATTTATAATTTTATTTAATTTTACTTTTTTTATAATATCATTTGTTTTTTTTTTATTTAAACATTTAGTTAACAGATTAAATATTTCATTATTTCAATGCATCAACAATTATCACAAATCTGGTCACCATTATTACAGTTTTATTATTTCTCTTTATCATCATTCTTCGTTTTATAAAAATTGCAAAAACAAAACAACAAAGAGTTCATTGACTTACGTACGCTCTTGTGATTCCCTCGTTGAAAGTATACTTTCTCAGAGTCTGGTATGATGCTGCTGAATGCTGGTTTGAAGATTAAGAGATGTAAATGTTGTGTTGTGTTGTATACAAAAGTTTGATGTAAAGATTAAGTTGTGTATGAATCAAACATGTTGCGTCGGTGAGCTACAGAGATGTTGCGATCAGCCAACAGTGTAACAGTGGAGAGTTTGCAGTTGGCGCAAGGGATATACCTACACACACAACATACATATTCAAATGGAATGCACAATGATCATTAGCTTAACAAAAGTAGAATTTTTTTTAAAATGTAAATATGTATAATGTGTGTATAGCTTTATCACTGGCTCCAACGGCAAATTACACTGAATGTTTGGTTATTGTTGTAATTTCACTTGTTTCTTTTTTTTACAATTTTTAGCAATTTAAAAGCACAGTTAATAGAAAAAAATGTTCACCAAAGACAAATAGAAAAATATTACATTCACTTAGGAATGATAAATTTTTAAATTCTAATTATTTTGTTTTTTAATTCATTGATTTGCATAAAAGCATCTTAGATAAATTATTTTTTAGACTGAATTTCTACCTTTTTTCCTTAATATTATGTTGTGTTTTTCACACTTTTCCTTATAATTTTAAGTTTCCAATTTGACACTGTATATAAAAAAATTTGATGGTTTTTCCTTTCTTTACTCTGTCTTTAGGACAGATATGACGGATTTTTCTAAGCACTGTTTTTTCTATAAATTTTATGATTTTTATATAAACTTATCACACCAAAACACAGAAGACTTCGCTAGAAATGTTTCACGCTCTTCCTTGGTCTGAATGTCGCAATCGTTGATGAATACTGATCTGTATGTTCGATCACAAAAATGCAAAAGGCAGTTGAAGAAAAAACGCAGCGCAGAGAAAACAACAACAATTTGAGTGTCATCAATACTGGAGATGCTGGAGACCTGGCAAAGCAACAATAAATTGTACCATATTAGGAAGTGGCAAATGAAGAAGAAACAATTTTAGAACTAATATAACAACAATATTTACCTTTAGGAATTTATCCCAAAACGAAGAAATCAATAAGAAGAATATGAAATTTAACGACGGCGAATTTGCAGTTTCTTATGTTAATGCATATACATGAAGAAATACATGGTATATGGAAATATCAGCGCTGGGGATAAAAAGAAAAATATACGCAAAATAGGAATTCGACCAACTAAAAATTCATGAGAAATAATAATGATTCACTTACTGAGCAACTAAGCAAATAGATGATTTATTTCTTTTATTTTTAGAAAAGACAAACTTTGTCTTAAAAAACTGACAATACTTTAGAAATAAACTGTAGTTAGTTTTAAGGCAAGGGAGATGTTATCTTAAGACTTCCTGGTGACAAAATGGACGAAACATATCTTTCATCGGAAAGATGAAACCTCATGAAAAGTTGAATCCAATCAAATTTTCCAATGCTTAATAAAGATGGCTAAAGTGAAAATCAGAAAAATGTCAATAAACTGATAAATAGAATTTCATTTTACACATTCAAACGACAGGTAGAGGTCGCCTAATAATGAACGTTACAAAATAGAAGTTTAAAAAAATGCAGATCAAAGAAAATTCAATATTAGTATTTTATAGATTGCAAGCGCCTCTAAATTTGCAAGTTATGTATTATTTTGTCCCATGCACTTATTCTTCAATTTCAGAATTGTATATATCTCATTTTTAGTCAAAAATTAATGCATTCTTCATTTTAAAATTAGTAAAGAAAGTAGTAAAGTAGTACCGGGCGGACTATATGATACCCTTCACCACTTGCGGTATATTTTTCACATATGTACTACAGAAGTCACCTTTTCGAGGAAACATTGACGTGAAATTAAGCGAACTTAAATATGTGAACTTAAATATGTGATTCCCGGTAGTACAAAATGAAAAAATTCGCTGTTGCAAACATAAATTTACTGTGAAAAAAATTCATTTCGGGGGGGGCCCGGGCCCCCAGGGCCGCCCCCCTGCATACGTCCCTGATGAGAGTTATATCAAAATCTGAACCGATTTGCATGTAACTTTGCACACATCAATCCTGACATAATTCAGTACGCTGTGCAAAATTTTATGCAAATCGAAAGATATATAGGGACTTTGGTGCACCATAGTCATAAAGTCGGACGAAAATATATATGGAGCTATATCTAAATCTGAACCAATTTTTATCAATTTCAATAGAGTTGGTCCTTGGGCCAAATAAATGAGCTGTACCAAATTTCATCCAAATTGAATTATAAATCGATTAATATTTCCACGGTATGATGGAGGGTATAATGACTAACTGGCGTACGAAAGTAATATATGCCACTAAATGATTTGAAATTTCAGTATCCATTATTTATTGTGCTATTGTGTGTTAAAATGTTAACTACTGTCCCACTCCACCTTAAGAGTTATTTAAAAAACAATTAAACTTTTTAACTAATTTTTAAATTAAAACAAATTATTTGCATTTAATGAGAGCTTTTATAATGGTGTACTAATCCCGAAAAGTAAAAAGTTTACTTCATTTCAAAGAAAAAGCCACTACTTGCTTCTGAAAAAAACATTATAGCAAAACAAAATTCTGGACAAGTGGAGCATTGCAATATAAAGTCCTAGGTAAACTGTTTACGTATTTCATAGAAAAAAAATCGTCTACCAACATTCCGGTCAGGGCACATTGAGTGGCATTAGTATCCCTCAACCGTTCTACATTCATAATGCTTGTTTATATAAAATTTAAATAATTTGTCTCAAATAAAAACACACACAAATATACATACATACAAACAAAAAGTTCTAAAGAAGTAATAAAAAACTCAAGTGTTGTATTATTTTGCTTTTTTGTTCTTATTGTTCCTAAGACATTTGTCTGGTTGTAACATTTTGTTTTTATTTTGGTTTAATTCTTTTTTTATTTTTAAGGCAACCTTCGGATCGCAAGAAGGAACATATCAAACGGCCAATGAACGCATTTATGGTATGGGCCCAGGCGGCTAGACGTGTTATGTCTCAACAGCATCCACATTTGCAAAATTCGGAGTTAAGCAAGTCGCTGGGAAAATTATGGAAGTAAGTAAAACAAAAACAAACATATGCAAATTCACAAACATGCATACATATATAATCATTAATGGCACATACTCCCAATTGTACAACAACAAGTGATTGTTATTATTCAGATTTAACAATGTTAAATAAAGGACGAATAAACGACGTTAAATTCTAGCGGTCGAACTTTTTAAATTCTGCACCATTGGGGGTGCCTTCCAAAAGTCTGAAAACAATGCCAATGCCATATGAAAACAATTTTTTCTTCACCTGGAATTTCAAATTCCAAATCACTGACCACTATTGCGGTTCAAACGTTCAATATATAAAACTTATAACATTAACAATGCAGCGGAACATTCATATGCAGGCTACACCAAAACATGAATCTATTGGAAATAGTTCTGCCCCTTCAATGAAAAAACGAATCAACGCGTAAAAGCGTAAAAATACTGAAAATGGGGAGGGACCATTCCATGAGGAAAATTAGACTGTTAAAAATGTGGGTTATGTCAAGGACAAGGACTCCAAAATCTTTGAATGCCAATTGATAGACCATTTAGTTGGTAAATACACCTACAACCTTGAAAATATCGAAAATTGGGGTTTTCTGTTATAAAAGACTTATTTCAGCTCCTTTACAAAGATTCCTTTCAGTCGACTCTAAATATTCCCTTCCTCTATAAATACTCCCTTCCTCGTCTATGAAATACTTCCTCCAGCTCGTCTATGAAAGACCCCATGCTTAGGCACGTCTATTAAATACCCCCTGCATCCAATCTATAATGAAAGACTCCTCGTCTAGGAAAGACTCCCTGTTTCAGATAGTTTATGAAAGACTCCCTGCTTCAGCTCGTCTATGAAAGACTCCCAGCTTCAGCTCGTCTGTGAAAGACTCCCAGCTTCAGCTCGTCTATGAAAAACTACCAGTTTAGCTCGTCTAAGAAAAACTAACTGTTTTAGCTCGTCTATGAAAGACTACCTGTTTCAGCTGGTCTAGGAAAGTCTCCCTGCTTCAGCACGTCTATGAAAAACACCCAGCTTCAGCTAGTCTATGAAAGGCTCTCTTCAACTCGTCTATAGAACTCCCCTCAGCAGATCTATAAATATTCCTCATCTGCATGTCTAGAAAAAATCCCTGCATAATGTCTATTACTACACCCTTCCGCTCGGAACCCACACACCTTATCATAAAAATATTTCCCCTTCCCTCCCTTGTATATTGCATTGCATATTGAATTTAAAAACCAGTGAGCGGAGCAGTATAGTCGGACGGGGCCGACCATACGATACCCTACACAACTACCACCGAAACCGAACTTTCTGCGGATGTTTATTCCGAGCCTGTGCAATATTTCGTGATAATTGCATTCTATTGCCCGATTAGAGGTAAGCAGCACCTCTTCCTTACACTGATATATTTTCCGAATATTACGAGTAATCAGTATAGCTAGGGTCCAGATTCCTTTCACCGTGGGTTGTGTTGTGATGTTCAGCTTTCATTTGTGATCTATAGATCGACTCGAAAATATCACAAATATAATTAAGTTTTCGGTCCACTGCATCCCAAAATTATTTTCTGATCATCACCGAAAGTTGTAGGCGTTGTCCTTGACCATAACTGAAATCTCATGGAAATTTTCAAAGCGATCAGCGCCATATTTCCGCCCTCTAGTGTGGTTATGGGTTACTAAATAATGTCACCTGTAAATATTTAAGCACCTGTAAATATTTAAGTGTAGCTCCCACATCTGAGTACCTACGACCACATAATTGGTATCAATTTAAAGGTCAACCACTCCTCTTTAACATACTATCAAATTTTTGGATCTAGGTCCTTCAGGGGCAAATATATACGCCAAAGAATACAAATTTTGTCATTTTTCACACAAAAGTCAGGGTCCATTTGACCCGCTAAATATTGACCTATCTTTTTCAAAACAGGCATGCTTATTCTTTGCCCCAATCCCCTTCTCCTTGTAAAATTTCACGATGTTCGGGCCATAATTGCGGCCTCTGGAGCGACCAGAAAAACCGACAAAAATTTAGTATTTGGTCCATTTCATCCCCTAAATATTAACCGATCTTTTCCAAAAACAATAGGGGTCTTCATTGGCCAGAACCCATTCTACATGCAAAATTTCGTGAAGATTGGTCCATAATTGTGGCCTGTATCGTGTTTACAAATTATAATGGACAGACGGACGGACGGACGGACACACATGTCTAGATCGACTCAGCTAGTCGAGATATGACGATCGGTATACTTAAAGGTGGGTCTAGGACCAATATTTCGCGGCGTTACAAACTTTTGGGGCTGCACAAAGCTATAATACCCTGACAACATAGTTGTGTAGGGTATAAATATATTAATATATATTTTATTGCAATCATTTTTTTGTTGCATTCTCTGAACTAAAACCGCTCGTAATAACATTTAATTAACATTTTTCACTTCAAAACTTTTGATGCCAACAATAAAACCGCAAATAATTATTTGTTTTGTTTTTCGTTGTATAATAAATCAGTTGTTTTATTTGTTTATTTGCTGTTTAGGTCTTTGTTAATTTTAACATATTGAATAAAATATAAACCAGTGAGCGGAGCAGTATAGTCGGACGGGGCCGACCATGCGATACCCTACACAACTACCACGAACTCTAACTTTCTGAGGATGTTTATTCCGAGTCTGAGTAATATTTCGTGATATTTGCCCCCTCTTGTCCGATTAGAGGTTAACAACACCTCTTCCTTACTTTTTTCGAATATTCAGTACAATCCTTCTATTTACTTGTCCAGATTACCTTCACGGTGGGTTGTGTTGAGATTTTCGGATTATACTCTACTCGAAAACACACAACAAATTATGTTTTCGGTCCATTTCATCTCAAAATTTTAATCTGATCATCACCGAAAATTGTAGGCGTTGTTCTTGACCATAACTGGAACTTGATGAAAAATTTCAAAGCCATCAGCGCGATATTTCTCCCTCTAATGTGGTAATGGGTTACTAAATAATATCTGAATACGTAAGCACCTGTAAATATGTGACTGTAACTCCCACATCTGAGTAGATACATCACTATATTTGGTATCAATTTAAAGGAAAACCACTCCTCTTGGATATGCTTTCAACTCCTGGGGTCTACATTTTCCAGGAGTAAATATATATGCCATAGAATACAAATTTTGTCATTTTTCACACAAAAGTCAGGGTCCATTTGACCCGCTAAATATTGACCGATCTTTATCAAAACATGCATGCTTATTCTCTGGCCCGATCCCCTTCTCCATGCAAAAATTCGCGGTGTTTGGGCCATAATTGCGGCCTCTGGAGCGACCAGAAAAACCGACAAAAATAATGTTTTTGGTCCATTTCATCCCCTAAATATTAACCGATCTTTTCCAAAAACAATAGGGGTCTTCATTGGCCAGAACCCATCCTACATGCAAAATTTCGTGAAGTTTGGTCCATAACTGTGGCCTGTATCGTGTTTACAAATTATAATGGACAGACGGACGGACGGACGGACACACATGTCTAGATCGACTCAGCTAGTCGAGATATGACGATCGGTATACTTAAAGGTGGGTCTAGGACCAATATTTCGCGGCGTTACAAACATTTGGGGCTGCACAAAGCTATAATACCCTGACAACATAGTTGTGTAGGGTATAAAAATGCAAATAATAAAATATAAAAAAAAAAACACACACACAAACGGCTAGAAAAATTTTATGGTTCATTTGTAGCTGGGCATTGATAAGGGAAAGACAATTTTATGATTAATGCCTTTGCTGTGGAGACGACAACGACGACAAATCATTGGAATTGTCATGGATGGATGAATATTTCTTTTTTTAGTTTCCATTTGTTTTTGGTTTGAGTTTTTTTCTTCATCACCGTTGTGTTACTGATAAGCTAGCGTTTTGTTTTATTTTGATTAAATTCTTGGTTATGATTCTAGGGAATTGCGTGTGTAAGCCAGCCGCCTCAGACATATATGACGTTAAAAAAATCTTTGAATTCTTCTTTTGAATAAGTGGGTGGCTGTTGAGACGTATGTAGGTTTGAAATATTCCGAATTTTTAAATCAATGGGAAATTTTAGTTCTGTGGGTGGATTTTAAAATTTCAATTGTCGTAGGATGAACAATTTTAGAATAATTTAAATTTTACTCCACAGAAGACACATAATTTATTTCGTCGAAATCAAATGCTTAGATCAAGTGAAGCCTGCTGTGTCGGGTAAAGTGTCATGAACTGTGGAATTAATCTTTTGCAAGAAATTACAAATTAATTTGACATTAAAGCCACTTAAACTGCAATTTTGGTGACAATGGTTTCGTAGTGAAAGTGGAGAAAGGAAATCTCATAATCATTCCCACTTGTGGGTATGGGGTAATTATAGGCAAGCTCAGGGGAATCATTTCAGAAGATTTTATGGGAATCTTTTTAGACGAGATGAAGGAGAGGATAGGAGTTTTAATATATGATCTGAAGGGAGTCTTTCATAGACGAGCTGAATGGAGCCTTTCATAGTCGAACTGAAGGGGGACTTTCACAGACGAGCTGAAAGACTGAAGATAGTCTTCAATCGACGAGATGAAGGTAGTCTTTCACAGACGAGCTGAAGGGAGTCTTTCATAGACGAGCTGAAGGGAGTCTTTCACAGACGAGCTGAAGGGAGTCTTTCATAGACGATCTGAATGGAGTCTCCATAGACGAGCTGAAGGTAGTCTTTCATGGACGAACTGAGTCTTTAAATATGAGCTGAAATGAGTCGTTCATAGACGAGCTGAAGCAAGGAGTCCTTCATAGATGATCGGAGTTTCTCATAGACGGACTGAAAGGTGCCTTTCATTGACTGAATGGAGACTTTGACAGACGTGCTGAAGGGAGTTTCCTAGACAACCTGAAGGGAGTCTTTCATAGACGAGCAGAAGGGAGTCTTTCATAGATGAGCAGAAGGGAGTCTTTCATAGATGAGCTGAAGGGAGTCTTTCATGAATTCTTTGGTTAGTGCGTAAATATCTCCAGTGAAAAATTTTCCATCTTATGATGCTCAAGCGGAAAAGTCGCCACATTACCAAATTTGTCGAAGGAAAAGTGCACCATTTGCTTCGAATTGTTTCCTTCAAGAAAAACCTTCTTTTGATTTGGATCGACTTCGAGTATCCATACGGTCGATTGCTACTTTGATTCGGAATCATACGCATAGAATATGACTCATCACCTTTGACAAATGGACAGAAATTCTATGCTTCATATCAGAAACCCGCTTTACTCATTTTCAGGGTCTTGCCTAATATATTTATAACCTGCACAACTATGTTGTCAGGGAATTATAGCTTTGTGCGGCCCCAAAAGTTTGTAACGCCGCGAATGAAGACCAATGAAGACCCTTATTGTTTTTGGTAAAGATCGCTTAATATTTAGGGGATGAAATGGACCAAAAACTGTATTTTTGTCTGATTTTCGGGTCGCTACAGAGGCCGCAATTATGGCCCGAATTTTTACACGAAGAACGGAAACGGGCCAAAGAATAAGCGGTTTAAATAGACCCTGACTTTTGTGTGGAAAATTACAAATTTTGTATTCTAAAGCGTATATATTTACTCTTGAAGGGAATAGACCCAAGAAGTTCTTAATATATCCAAGAGGAGTGGGTGCATTTAAATAGATAACAATTATATTATCTTATGTACCCGGTTGTGGGAGTTACACTTACATATTTACAAGTGCTTACATATTTATATATTATTAAGTAAACCGTTACCACACTAAAGGGCGGAAATATGGCGCTAATCGCTTTGAAATTTTCCATGAGGATCCAGGCATGGTCAAGGACAACGCCTATAATTGTCGGTGATGATCAGGTACAAAATTTGGGATGGAATGGACTGAAAACGAACTATAGGCTACAATTGAAAGCCGAAAATCACAACACAACCCACGGCGAAAGGAAACTGGACAAGTAGTTAGAAGGGCTGCACTGATTATCGGTAATATTCGGAAAATATGTCAGTGGAAGGAAAATATCCGCAGAATGTTAGAGTTCCGTGGTGGTTGTGTAGGGTATCGTATGGTCGGCCCCGTCCGAATATACTGTTCCGCTCACTGGTTTTGTTAATGATAAACTTGTCATAAGCATCACGATGTGTACACTATGGTGTACGATGTCAATTATCATTTCCGTTATTTTTCGGAATTCAGAGATGCTGTTTTAATAGAGATGGCTTTAGTTTAATATTTTGAATTAACATTGGGTAGAAATCTTAAATATAGGTCCATAGATATTTTATACTAAAAGCAAATTTACTTCTTTTCCTGGCAGCAATTTCCTATGACATAGCTCCATATAAACGTCTCGCTCGATATTTAGTATTTTAAATGTCTACTAGGAAATAAAGGATTTAAAAGTTTACAGTCCACTTAACGGTGGTCTTCCTTGTTTAAGGTTGAATACTCTTCATTTTTTATGTAAATACAGATTATGCAATTCCTCCCCTTCCATCTGCTTCTTTTCTTTAACATTTACATTTTCTGTTTTTATTTATTCTTTTTTCTTCTTCTTCGGTTTTCTTTTTCCAGAAATCTTAAAGACTCCGACAAGCAACCATTTATGGATGTGGCAGAGAAATTACGCAAAACCCATAAGCAGGATCATCCGGACTATAAATATCAGCCACGAAGGAAAAAAGGACGTACCCTCACGTCCAGTGCAGTGCAATGCAGTACGGATGGCCTAAAAACGGAAGCATACACAACAAGAGCCATACCCATAGCTCTACCGGAGGAACAACTACAACACCAGCAGAAACCAAATCAAATGGTCAGAACAAACAACTGTCGACAACAGGCGGAGCAGCAGCATCAACATCAACGGCCACAACCAATAGTCATTTGTCATCCAAAACCATGGCAACAGCTGGAAATCGCTTGAATGGCAACAAAGCCAACGGCAAACAAAGAAACCGTGAACAACCACCGCAACAACAACAACAACACCATCATCAACACCACCAGTCACCAATGTCAGATAATGGCAAATCTACAACCCATTTCATTTCTGCAATGGATATTAATGGAACATTAAAGAATTCCTGTAAAAATGTGTCCTCAATGTTGACTCAAGGTCGTCTCATGGGACCGGCACATGCTGCCGCCGATGAAATTTCAGCGGAATTTATGTTTAATCGTTATGATTATAGCAAATCGTTGGATTCACCTGGTTCCACGACTAGTTCATTGTTATCCTGTGCCACCTCGGCCAATGATTCCCAGCCACTGACACCGCCAGCTACACCATATTGCAACGCTACACAACAACGTTTGACAGGTCCTCAGGCACCACTGCACAATCAGCCACGTCAAGCAACAAGAAATTTTTTGCAGCAACAGGTTTACGAGGTTGTGGGTGGCAGTGCTGGTGGCGGTTTAAGTGAATATCAGCTACTTAACATTGAAGGACGTGAATTTATATCCTTGGATGATTATCCTTATAATACATTGGGTGGGCCGGTAGCTAATAGTGGAGGTGGTGGTGTTGCTCCACTAGCAATAAATGTCGATATTCATGATGGCAGTCATCAATATTCCTAACCCTCCTCCTATGCTTTGCAATTTTATAGCAATCAACAACAGCAACAGGAACAAACAAACAACAATCATATTCAACATAATTCAATGGAATTTCAAAATTATGGACAACTTGGTAGTTCTGCTGGGTATACATCGGTATATCGTCACACAAATTGTGCTTCATCTCCGACGATGCACACCATTGAACCTTTAAATTATTTCAACATAACTACCCCACCACCACCGGCAGTAACGACAGCCGAACACTCTCCTTTGCGGACATCATGTTCCTCGCCCTACTCAAAGACCACTGCTCTCCATACGGGAATGCCCAAGATGAATGGCCATACCCAACATTATATGGCACCATTCGCCTCTGCAACAACGGATCTAACATCGGAAGTTGCTGCTGGCCACACTAATGATGATGTTGAAACCAGCATCGAACAATATTTTATGGATCAAATAATGCCCATTGAGTCGGTGGCCACAGTCACAAACATCAATGGCACAATGCATCAGGTCTCCCCCTCCTTAACCACCTCATCACCAACATCATCTGCGAGTATTGTCACTGCAACATCTGGAATTTCTTTAAGCAATTCTACGAAATCTCTCATGTATGCGACAAAAATGGCACACAACACATCCGACACACATGGGCTGGAGGAGTATACATCAGCTGCCAAAAAGTTATGTCTACCACCTACACCATCAACATTGTCAAGCAATTCGACCGCATCCTGTTCATCATCATCACTGTCGCCTCATAAGCTTTCACCTACATCACCCACGACGACCACAGCCACTGCAGCAGATAATATGAGTTGTTATTACATGGCGGCAGAGATGCACTCCACAACTACTACCGGGGGAGTCTTATCATCACCTATGGTGGCAGCAGAGACGACGTCAACGACACTAAGCACGGAGGCAGATGCCGGCCCAGCAATGGGACATCATGGTAATGAAAGTGATTTCCCCAACCTGTATGGCCACAATGGAAATATGCAACACCAACAACAGTCTCACACTTTGTCACACCATACACAAGAGCAACACCTACAACATCATCATCAGCATCATCCACAGCAGCAACAACAGCATCATCACCAGCTACTGCAGTGGAACACTTCGTATAATGTATAAAAAAAACAGCATTCAATTTAATTAGTTCTTAAACAATATTTACTTAGCCCTGTTGATGATGAAGGGACAAAGAAAAAAAAAACAAATTTATGACAGCTAATTGACAAGGATAATAGAATTTTGTTGTTCTTCTTAACAAATGACAGACAGTATTTGTATAAGCCTTTTTGATAAATTGAGTTCTGCTGCTGTTATTTTTTTACATGTAATTTAAGTGATGGCTTTTAAAACACATTGTTTTAATTTTTATCTTCATTTTTATGTGGTATAACAATATTAAATATTTTTTGTATTATTTTTATTTTTTAATATACATATATAAATAATTTAGTTGGAATAAAGTAAATAAAATGAAATACATAGAATCACTTTCTGAGTCGATTTATGTATGTCAAATCGCATTTATGATCCGATTTGGATGAAATTTGGCACATGCCACTTATTTGGGCCAAGGGCGAACCCTATTGAAATTGGAGTAAATAAGTTTTGCTGTGATTATAGCTCCCTTATATAAATGGTTCCCCAAACTTCCAATATTGGTCCGATTGAGACATAACTTTGCACAGAGTACTGAATTAGGTCTAGATTGATATAAGCCAAGTTTTGTTGAAATCGGTTCACATTTAGATATACCTCCCATATATAAGTTCGTCCGATTTTAGGTAAATGGTGCACCAAACTCCCAATATTGGTCCGATTGAGACAAATTACAAATTACTGAATTAGGTCCAAATTTATGTATGCGAAGTTTTGTTGGAATCGGTTCAGATTTAGATATAGCTCCCTTAGATAATTTCCTCCGATTTTATGTAAATTGTGCACCATACTGTCAATGTTTGTCTGATTGACATCCGTGTTGAAATTACTGCAGGTTGACGTCCTTGAAGTTTAGATATAGCTTCCACGTATATCTTCATTCGATTTAATCAAAATAATGTACCAAGTAACTAACGTTTGTCCTCTTAGGACAAATTAGTGCACAATCGAATCAAGAATTACGTATTTTGGTATATCCAAAAACTGAATGGAACCGCTGAGGATGGATACACCAAAACGTGGATATTTTTTGTTCCAAACGGAGTGACTAATTTGAAAATTTGTCTGAACCCTGACCCTAATTTTTTGAAATAGCAAACCTATTTATAACAATCGATGTAAAAAATATATAGAAATTTGATTGTCAGTCGTGTCTTTAAGGATGGTTACGAAGTCGGCCATTTTTGCTGGAGTCATAGTGAACTTTTTCAAAATAAGACCACATTTAAAGTAGAGAATGTTGTTTGGTTTAATCGGATAAACTAAAATCACCACAAACCTCAGTCTGGATCAACTCGAAATACTAAACTAATAAAATTTGTTTGGAACATATACACTTAGTTGGTGTATAAAGTCTTCCTGATCCCTGTAGTTGATCTATAAAGACTAAGCTAACATATAAGAACTCCCTGAATACCTCGTCTACAAGTATTCAGTCTGTATGAAATGTCGTACATTATACATTAAATTTATGTTCCTAACTAAAAATGGTGGTGTTGTCAATTCGTTAATAAAAAAACTCGTTGGTTAGCTCTTCATAGATTCTTTTTTTTTTTTAGCTTCATTCATTGAATCCATTCAAATTTTCCACATTATCTATGTATGTATTTTGTTATGGGTTTATGTTTGTTTTCATTGCGTTCGCATTGCTGCAACACATTTATTTTATTTCTTCTAATATGACTTTGAATTCACAATTTAATTTATTCCCATTATTATATTATATGCGCTCCATGGCTTCGGGGTGCTTTTAAATTCATGTTTCTTTTTTCTAAGTATATGTATATACACAGTATATATAAGTAAGTATATGACTATACACAGAGACAGAATTTCATTCATATTTAGCATTGCGTTTTTATTGTGCACTTAGCTGATAGCTTTAAATGATAAAAAGGTGAACGTGGCTGGAAAAATAAATACACCAATTGAAAGTGCAAATATTTACAAAAGTATGCTAATATTCCTGAGATTCAAGGGTGACATTGAAAGAACAAATTTCGCATGAAAGTCACATTCGGAACGGAAGTTATTGTTGCTTTTATACGCTATTGCTATAAGCCAAAGGAAAATTGTGAAGTATTATTTTTGTTTTCGCATTTCTAAGAAAAAAGTTGTTATGCTTTCTTTTTGTAATCTTCTTATGAATTGCCCAAGGTGTATAATTCCGCAGGAGATTTTTTATTACTGAAATGACATTACTTTTTTTTAAGAAAATTGACACAGTATTCAATACAGCTTATCCTAAGTTCGTCTGTAAAGACCACCTTCAGCCCGTCTATGAAAGACTCTCTGCTTCAGCACGTTTATGAAAGACTCCCTGCTTCAGCTCGTCTATGAAAGACTCCCTGCTTCAGCTCGTCTATGAAAGACTCCCTGCTTCAGCTCGTCTATGAAAGACTCTCTGCTTCAGCTCGTCTATGAAAGACTCCCTGCTTCAGCTCGTCTATGAAAGACTCCCTGCTTCAGCTCGTCTATGAAAGACTCTCTGCTTCAGCTCGTCTATGAAAGACTCCTGCTTCAGCTCGTCTATGAAAGACTCCCTGCTTCAGCTCGTCTATGAAAGACTCCCTGCTTCAGCTCGTCTATGAAAGACTCCCTGCTTCAGCTCGTCTATGAAAGACTCCCTGATTCAGCTCGTCTATTAAAGACTCCCTGCTTCAGCTTGTCTATGAAAGACTCCCTGCTTCAGCTCGTCTATGGAAGACTCCCTTGATATCTTGTGTATCCCTGACCACCAATTTATATACAAAGATATTGAGCTCTCTATGTATCCAATATCTATCTTTGATATTATCAAGTCGCATTTCCTCGCCATACTAGCTGTCACG